AGAGCGAGGAGGAGTGGCCAGGCTCTGCCCCCAGCATGGGGTGGGATGGTGCCAGCTACACCGACTGTGCCATCTGCCTGCAGGCCTACGAGCCCGGGGGGGCACTGAAGCTGTTGTCCTGCTCGCACGCCTACCATGGCCGGTGCATCGACCTGTGGCACTGCACCCAGGCCAGCAGCAAGAGCTGCCCGCTCTGCCTGCGCAGCGTCACCACGGTGGCCTTGATCCACCTGGGAGTACACAACAACGAGCAGGAGTAACCTGCTCAGCCAAGCTCCCTTGTGGATAAAGACCCCCCCTTCCCCATACACAGCTCTGCCTTCCACTCTTCCTACAAATTCACGCTCCAGTCAGTGCCTCTCGGGAAGCGCGAGCTCTGCACAGGATTAAAAACCCCATATGGATGTGTAGGAGTGAGGAAATGCAGCCTGGAAGGACAAGTGGAACACCGAAGACACATCCTTGGCTCTGCCCAGCGTGGGGAGGTGATCGCACACAGGTCTGCTCCACGCTGGAAGATGTGAGGGCCGCGACCACAGGACAGAAGCAGCATTAGCTCTCGGGTGGCTTGTCCTGAGGTTCCTCCTTTTACTCTGCTTCTGAAGCTCTCCCTTCCTAAAGCCTGCACAGACAGGTTTATTCCAACGGAGCCAATTGCCGCAGTTACCAGCTCATTTTTACCACAAACCCCTGGTTAATGAAACAAGCCCTGTTCCTTACTTGCCTTTCTTTTGCATTCAGTTAGTTGAAAAGAACAAAAAAACCTGCTCAATTGAGATGTTGTTTTTGCTTTATGTCCAAGGTTTGCAGGGCGCTTTGCCAAAGCTGGGAACAGCAAGGTATTATTTCTAGCACCAGTATCTAATAAAGAAGTGTTCCTCCATTGCAAGGCAAACGGCTGGAACTGGAATCCATTTCCATACATAGGTACTAAGTTGCAGTGGCCCACATTTGCTCAACTGCTTTTTTTAATTGTGGGCGTTAGCAGATTATGGGTACTTTTGCAGCAGGTCCACAAAGCACTGCTTTATAATCTGCTGTATGCATCAGGGCCCAGATTATCATGCTTGTACTTGGTAATAACAGAGAGATTGCCTGGACCCCAGGGAAATCCAGGAGAGGCACCTGGTAGAGCGCAGGAACACGTGGTACAGGGGCACGTGTAGGGTATGCTGGACACAGCAGGGCTTGCAGAACTCCCCCAGACCTGCTCCCCATCCCCTTTCCATGGTGGGAAACAGCAAGGAACAAACCCTCTTCACACACGCACACATCTCCATTTCTCACCTACCCAGCACACATTCTGAGTGGCGACTCTGATTCTTTCAGCTCTCTCTCCTGTACAGACGCAGGTCACCCTTTCCTTTCATCCTAGATGAAAGGACGTGGTTACATGCACCAGTTTCTAAACCAGCTCCAAGCAAAGAACATCATTAACAACAAGGTGCAGGTCTGCCTCCCAGTCAGCTCGCTGCGGAGCTGGGGACCTGCTCAGTCAGCAGCAGGGGGGAAGCGTGTCCCACATCTCTTTCCTTTCAGAGCAACTGGGAGCACTGGAAGCACAAAGGCTTGCACTGGAAGGTCACTAGATGGCCCCAGATCTTCCTTCACAGCAAATCCCCAGTATTTCAGCTCCAGGAGCCTGGTCTGCCCTAAACCTACAGCATGACCCCAAAGGAGCAGTGTGCCCTGATAAGAAAGGCACTGAGCTAGAACCAGGGATGCCTGCCAAGATGTCTTGAGCAAAGCACTTAACTCCCTGATGGCTTTTTCTGCTCCTGGCCTTTAGCTATCGGGGGCAGGTAGAGCCTGTTGTGAGGCTGTGCAATGCTACTGCCCACGGACCCGAGACACTGACCTAACACAGATAAAGGACGAGAAGTCTGATTGTGTACAAACCCACATCATCCCACTGCCAGGCTGCTCTTTTCATGCTGCATAAACCTCAGAGGGAAAAATGCACCCAAACATCCAGACTTATCCCCTAGGTTACATCAATGCTGAATCTGGGGCCTGGGATGCTTGTTTTCTTGGAGTTGTAATGATGTCCACATAAGTCAGTTGCCTCTGCATCTCTGTTACAGTTTAAGCTGTTTGGGCAGGACCAGAGTTCAACTCTGTTGGTGATTTTGTGGGTCTAAATCAGCATCAAATTCCTTTGGATTGAGCAGATACCTCTGTGCAGTGCAAGCAAAAGGAAGAGCTGGCTTTATATCCTAGCTCCTGCACTAAGTGACAGCCCCAAAGAAGAAATAAAGGAACACGGGGACTTTGGGAGCAGTGGGGTAAGTGATCAGTTAATAGAGGTAAATGGTCTTTTCCTTTCTTCTAGCCTGGATCATTGTTCAAGTGGTAAAATGGGACCCGTTCCCTGTAATTGCTCTGCTCTTGCACACAACTGCTGTCTCCCACGTGTAGCTTGTTGACATTTAAATAAATTGCAATTATTCCAACAAAGTAGATTGCAGGAGCTCCAGAGAAAACGGGTCAAGAATACGTCCAGGAGCATCTGCAATGTATTTAACACATGAATATAACAGGGGTAGGGCAGGATGAGAAGAAAAGTATGGTGCTGGCTATGATGAACGCAGCATGGGGCTGGAGGCAGCCTGGCACAGCCCCACACCACAGTGTGATGCTTGGCTTAACCTCCGCCAGCAGGAGCCAAAGCCTCCAGGAGACAGCAGACAGAGGCAGACAGCAGGGATGCGAACAGAAAGCACAGAAGGAACCAGAGTGTGGTTTATTGGTGGACAGGGCACCACTTTGGCTCTTTGAGCACAGACCATCCTGGCCAAAGTCCTTTTTCAACCCTCCTTTCTGCAGAAGCATTCAGGGATTTCAAAGGAGGCTGTGGTTTTCCCTCTCACACTGCCTGTGGGTGGGATACAGGCACCCTGCTGCCCATCCTGATTGTAGCTTTCCCTCTTTCCTCACTCCCCAAAGCCTTCTCTGTGCCCCATTTCTCTCTTTCTTACCCTCCAACCTCTCTTGAAGAGGATTTGTCTTTTTCCCCACATCTCTGAGTTACTGCTGGGAGTTACTGAGATCCAGGTTGAAGCCAGGAGGCTGCTCACTCCTGCCTCGCTGATTCTAGGGCATAAGAGGTGGTGCTGGAGCAGCCAGGAGCTAACAGCATGCAGGATACACAGGGGATTGATCATTCCTTCATCCCACATCTGTCACAGCTCACACAGACACATGGATCTTCACCCAGCCCTACCCCTATGCAAGCAGCAGGTCACTGACAGTCCATAAAGCTTTGATTTAGAGGCAGAAATACAGCATTGAGTGCAAGTAAGGAGGCAAAGATTTGAAAGAACACTAGGATGATGGATGCCATCACAAAAAGGATGAAGACCAGCAAAGAATCATAGAATAGTTAGGGTTGGAAAGGACCTTAAGATCATCAAGTTCCAACCCCCCTGCCATGGGCAGGGACACCTCACACCAAACCATCTCACCCAAGGCCTCATCCAACCTGGCCTTGAACACTGCTAGGGATGGAGCATTCACAACCTCCCTGGGCAACCCATTCCAGTGCGTCAGCACCCTAACAGGAAAGAATTTCCTCCTTATATCCAATCTAAACTTCCCCATGCACCCTCCAAAGGCCTCCCAGCGCTCCTCCATTTTCTTCCTCTCCCATTTTACTCGAAACCATTTGGCTTCTCAAACCTTTCCCTTGTTTTGTTTTTAAATGCATCAAAATGTCTCCCTGCAAGTGTAAAACTCTTTAGATGATGGGGGAATAAAATCGATTTGAAACCACAGCTGCTGGGAGTCTCTGGCGCACACACACGCTGTCTGCTGACATTTTCTGTAGCTCTTTTCCCAGTGAAATCTGTCTCAAGCAGAGCCCAAGGGGGCGAGTAACAAATCAGTTGCCTGGTACCCGAGTGATTTTTTAACTCTAGGTCCAACACGACTGCACTGGAAACCACAGGGCTACTCTCAAGTGGATCATTAAACAAAAAGGGCTGTTTGTTACAGGGTACAGCTTTTGGGGGATTTGTGGTCCCGAACTGACTTGGGTTCATTGCATATTCATACTTAGTTTGCTCCAACAACCAAGAGAGTTGCTGCATTCCCATCAGGCTGGCGCTCCTCTGGGCACTGAGCAGTCGCCATATGAGTTGGGAATTGCCTGAGAGATAGGAGCTCCTGCTGTCAAACTCTGGGAGAGAGGGACAACACTTGTGCCTTATGCTTTCCACCCCTTTTTCAGCTTCCTCACCATAACCACAACTTCAAAATCAGTTTTTCCTGCTAGAAGCTGAAGTCTGTATTTTTCCAGCCATTTGATTTACAGCACTGAGGTTTGAAAGTCCATAAGGTAAAAAGCCCCAAGGTTGATGCCTTCCAAGCTCATCCACTGCTCTCTTTCACTGGGGTAGGAGTCCAACAAGCTCAGCCCCAGCAAGACCCAAGTGTATCAGGTGCTTCAAGTCCAGCTGCTCACTCAGGGGCCTTGAAGGTGGAGCTGCTCAGTTTAGGTAATGGCAAAATGAGGCCACACAGCAAAAAGAGACTTCCAGCTTCTGCCAGCTGCCAGTTTGACTGACAGACACCGATTGACTCCCTGCAAATGACAGACCCCTTCTATCCTAAGCCATTTATTTGCCTCCTTTTTGGTTCAAAGATCAAAATTTTAAGGAAAAAAAGCACGTCCACCAGACCAATCCAAGCTGCCACATCACCCCTCCCCAGCACAGATGGAGGCTAACAGCTCCTTCCCACTCTGCCTGGTTTCCCAGGAATTGCTTTGGCCGCCAGCATGAAGGATTCCAGTCTGTGGTGGGCACATAGCTGATGGGGAGGCTCATTTACCCTGCCTGTACAGCACCAGCAAAATGAGATGGGCATCCTACTGGTACCCAGATGGGGATGAAACTACAAACTTCATGCATGGAGCAGACCAAAAAGAAAAGGAAGAAGCTTAAGTAGGTTGATGGCAATGTTATGTGACCCAGCCTTGGGAAACACTCACTGGCTGATGCCACAGATCTGCAGAGGTGATGTAAGGGTGTTGCTTGGCAGCTGGAGACAGCAAAAGAGAAGTTCTATCCTGGGAACCTCTGAGCCTACAGAAACCTCTAAGGCAGAAACAGGCTGTGATCTCCATCCTGCTGGGGCTCCAAGTGATAAAACCCCAGTGGGATAGTGCTTCTGGGACTGGCTGCTACCCTTCTGCTTTGGGACCAGCCTGGAAATCTGTATTCAGCTGCATTCAGCATGAATCTTTGGCTCCAACTTCTTCCTTTTGTGGTCACTGCTGCCTTTTGCAATGTTACCCTTGCAGAGATCTTTGCTTACGTGGCTTATAATGACAGCTCCAAGTGCGTTGCTTATAAAGCCCTCCCTGCATGCTTTGGGCCACGACTCCCAGCAGAAGGGCTGACAGGGCATTTGGTAAGAGTGATACCACCAAATGCCTGTCATGCAATAGAGAATCCTCCAGCATCAAGGCAGGCCTCCGAGACACATATTGCACTCATAGGGGGGTATGGCTGCTCTTTCATCATGCCCAGCAGGCTGGATACCAAACTGCTGTTGTGTACAACGTGGATACAGAGGAAATGGCTACCATGATGGCTGATGACCAAGGAATCCAGGAGCTGACTGAGATACCATCACTCTCTACTGGACAACCAGTGTCCCTCCACTTGCAAAGGGCTCTGCAGTGTGTAAAAGGGGCATACGTCAGACTTCTACCACCCAGACTCTATTTGAGTGCTTGTCAAGAAAACGCCAAAATGCTGGAGAAAACTCTCACCATGAAGGATTGCAGAGACCTATTCTACATCACTCTTGCCAATGCCTTAATTATAGTTGGCTTCATCTGGTACAAGAGGGCTCACGGGACAAAGCTGCACACATACAAGAAGGGAGACAAACATGAGACCCGTGTGATCTGCATGGCAGAGTACAGAGAAGGGGACCACCTGAAGATCCTGTCCTGCTCTCATGCTTACCATAGTGTCTGCATTGACACTTGGTTCCACACCCTCTCTGGGAAGAAGACATGTTCCTTCTGCAAGCAACTAGTGAATACCTGTGGGCAAGGTGACCTCCTGCCTGAGCAGGCTGGTGAAGATGTCAATGAAGAGGAAAGGGACCATGAAGATGATGCATTCAATGAAGAGGAATGGGACCATGAGGATGAATATGCTGAAAAGGAGAAAGACGATGCAAGCTCAGTGGAAGGGGAAAGGTTTGATGTACCGGAGAACAGCATCACTTGAGCTGTGACAGGGATAAGTTATCATTAAACCAAAGGAAAGCTCCCCTGTGCTTTCCTTCAGCTCTTGCTCCAGGCTAGCTTTCATTGGGAAGCTATTAGCACTCTAGTTTTAGCTCCCCTCCCCTGGATCCTACAGTGAGAGCATCTAGAAATCCCAGGTGAGACCTGTCCCATGTGTTGCAGCCAGCAGGAACCATTTCCTAACCTAAGAAGTAGAGAGGGGGGAAAATGGGGTACTAAGGCATAAATATGAACCAACTTTGCCCTCTCATCAGCCATGAAAACAGAGCCCACAACCCCCCAGCACCTCATCACCCTGTGCACTGACACACACTATCCCCAAGCAGCAGAGTACCTTAGCACAGCCCACTGCAGGGGACAGCATGGCCTTTAACTACACTGGCAGGAAAAGTGAGCTGCAAATATTGAGGGCACTTTAAACACTATCTCCTCAGACAGGAGGTGATGCCAGCGGGAGGGAGAGGTCTTTACAGCAGGATTCACTTTGTGGAGCTGGGTAGGTGGAAAAAAGAATGAAAAGCTCTAAGCATGGTGTAATTGGCTGCCTTTGCCTGCTGGTTGCAATCTCACACCCTCACAAGGGCTGACGGCACTGGTACATGTAACCTCCTGCTACCTGGGCTGTTCCAGGTCACTCTCCAAATGTGCTTAAGCGCCTTAAGGGGAGCTGAATTTATGTACTAACATGATGCAGACAGATCTTCATGTCCCCTCTAGACACACCACGTATTATTTGGACAGCCTCTGAACACATTTCCAATGGTGTTTATAGCAAGAGCACGAGCAGAAATCAGCGCTAGCTCCCCAGGCTGGTACGGGTGGCTCTAACACCCACTGTGCATGGGGCAGGCAGCCAAGTCCCCAACTGCATATGGGGATGCAGAGCTGGAAACAGTCACAAAACTACTATTAGCATTTAATCTCGTATGAAAGAAAGGCATAAAACCTCTTTAGTAAATGCCAGAAATCAAATGAACAGCCCTAATGTACTATGACCAAGACACCCAACCTGCACAGCTGTACAAAGGCTAAACTCCTAAATCAAAGGCTCTCATCAAAACATCAACCATCCTATTTCTTGTGGGCAGCAACCAAGAAGCAGGCTGCCAGCTGATCACTCTATTAGGACCATGCAACAAGATGACACAACTATGGCCAGCAAATTAAGTCTAGTACTTTGAAGTGTTTTCTTTTTGAGTGGTTAGATGAGGACTTAAAAGGCCGGGAGTTTAGGAAAGTGCTGCCTGAAAACATGCTGTGGTACTGAGAAGTATGATCTCTGCAACACAGAAACCCTCTGAGAATAGCTGCACCCACTTCACTTCGGTATCCTTAAGATATCCATATCTTAGAGAAGGCTGGGAAAGGGTACACGAATACATGTGATAGCCACTGACAAGGTGGACCTGAATCTGTCAATCCTACCTCAGGGAAACCCAGGCAGCTTCAGGTGAGAGGAAGAGAGGAAGCTGCAGGCTCAGAATTCCTTTTGGCAGTGGAGAAGTTTCAAACCAATTTCTCCTGGAATGAAACATGACAGCATTTCCAAGGACTTGATGGAAACAAGTCTTCCTGCGGCTCCTCAGACCGAGCTGTTTCATTTCATTTGCTGAACAAACAGGGAAAAATGATTTTTAAGGCAGTTCATAAGAAAACTGCCCTCCTCTGCAAGGTGTGCAGGCTCCTGGGAGCCATAAATCACTTCCATTGCAGAACACGGCCCCTCAGGGTGCCTGAGAAGGCAAAGGCAGTTGTCTCCATCTGAGGAAGGAGACAGGTCCTTCAGCAGTGATTAGTGGCAGGAACTTCATTTAGGTGCCTTATATTGCTTTATGGAGGTAACTCCGCTGTCAGCAACTTGGAAGGAGACGGGACTTAGCTAAGCTGCACAACTGCAGTCATCTTCATCCATTGCTGAGCTTCTGGAGCTGCCCTGGGTCTGTAGCCCCCACTGAGATAGGCAACCCCAGGTCCTCAAAGGGAAGAAATGAAAGGGAAGATGCTGGTAGCACTCCCAGATGGCTGAGCACACTCTCAGTGCCCTCATTCTCCTCCAACCGAGGTCTGAAAAAGCACAGATGCTGCAAACGTGCAGGGAGCAGGCTGAAGAGCCGCTGCTTTCTGCATGCTGGTGGCACCATGGGCCAAACCAGGCTGCTGCCTCCCACAGCATCCTACTGGTGAAGGAGAAGTGACTGAACAAGACCCCTGAGCCAGACCTTGAGGTGCTTCGGGGTAATCACACAAAAATCCATGGTGTCATCCAGCTGCAGAGCTGGACTTGCGAGGAGAGTCCCAGGGGGAATTCTCTAGGCTGTATTATGCATGAGGTGAGATGAGCTGAGCTGATCATAGTGTCCTTAATATCTATGGATTTCTTTCCATCTTCAAAAGCAGCACACGCTCTAGATGGGCTGAATTTTTACTGAAATGGGTCAGGAGAAAAATAGAATCCTTCTTACAATGCAACACTGCATTGCTTTAATTTAGAAAAGGAGAGGAAGAAAAAAAAGGAAGAGAATCTGGGTAAGAGAGGAGCTCCTCACTCCATTTAATGTTATCAAAGCCTATTGCACTGAAAATCTGATTTGTGTGCCACAGCAAACCTGACCTCCAGCCCTAGAGCCGTCAGATCCACTGCCCTCCATCAGCATTAATGGCACTCCTAAGAGAGCGAGGTTAGCTTATTGCCAGGGTGGGACACGCAGCCCTCGCAGCCTGAAGGAGGATTATTAACTTCTCCAGAGGCAGCACTATCCCAGCGTTTCAAACACACTCCAATAGGCAGTGCACAAGAGGGAAAAGGAGAGCAAGGGGTCTGCGTCCTGCTGCTGGCTGTGGGGCCGGTGGTGGAGCTGATGTCCTACAGCAGTGTGGTGACACGCCTGTCCCAGTTCGACAGCGCTGCAGATTGACTGTGGAGCAGGAGAGAAGGGAAGCAGAGGTAGATGAGGTCTGGAAAGGCCACACTGGGAGGTGATATGGGAAAATCTCATAGGAGGGTTCGTGGCTTCTGCAGAGATGCTGTAATGGCAGTGAATTTAATTGTCACTAAAACACACAGGGGCAAGAGATGGGAAGACAGCAGCTACTGGGAAAGGAGCGCCGATGTCTGCATCCCAGAGCTCAGGCAGAAGGGAAATGGTACCTGCAGAGTCTCAAACTTCCATCAGAAAAAGGATAACTAGAAATACTTTATACCAACTGTGCAGGAAAAGATTAACTGGGGGCAAGGGTGAAGGCAAACGCAGTCTCATGGGTCCAGCCAGGGACAGCTTGGAGGAGCAGCCAAAGCCCTTAATGAACCCATCACAAAGCCCTAATGAGGGAAGAGCCAAGGATGCTCCAACATGTACATTTCTAATCAGAGCACCAGTACAACCCACATGGAACCTCCAGTGATAACTCTGCCTTGGGGGAGCACCCAAGCAACATGCTTAAGTGAGCTACCAGGAGCCCTCCTCCTTTTAGCCAGCTCCTGCCCCATAAACCAAGCTCCACTGCACATACTCTATTAAGCAATAACCAGGTTCCAGCACAGCCTCAAAGAATGACCTGGAGAGCTCATTTACCAGGAGGCTCTTTGCTGTTTCTTGCACATTTTATTGCAGGCTTTTAGACAAGCATGGTTCAGTGCATTGCTGAGGGAGCCACCAGACTGCGACCCAGAGGGAAGCTGCAGAGGATCCAGCACTGGGAACTGTCGACTTCACCACCAGAACATCAGTGCTATAGATCACCAGGAGCAATTAGGGGGTACAGCCTATGGGCAACCATCCAATGGAGACATTTTCCCCAAGCACTGAGCCAGGACTAAGCCTTGACAACAACATTTAAAGAACTACTTTGAGGTTTTAAGTGAGATCTATAGGCCCTGCGCAGGCCAGAGGTAGCAATTTCAACCTTGAAAACTCAAGCTTAATACCCACAGTAATTAAAAGGAGAGTGCGAGCTTCCCTGCAGCACAACCCAATTGACATCAATAGCATTTCAGCAGCAGAGAAGCTTACCTTTGATCTCCAAAATCCATCTGGGATGGAGATAAAGGACAGAATGTGCCTGCCCACAGGGCCAGGAGCCTCTGCTACCCAACGGCTCCAATATCCATGGAAAACTTCCTTCCTTAGGCCATACTGCCCACCTCCCAGGTCTTCCTTCACCCAGTGTATTTCTCAGTCTCCTCCTTTTCCAAGGGCAGGATTTCCCACCCCAGGTTCTGATGCCCAGTTTTCCCTATCACCATCCCATCTCTATATCCCATTCTGCCTCTTGTCCACACCCCAAGATGCTCCCATTCCTCTCTTGCTCCTGGAAAGCTTCATGTGTGCCTTAACAAATCAGGTTACCCTGAGGTGTCTTTGCACGCAGGAAGCTAAGGCAGGAATCCAGCTCTCCAGGGTAATCTGCAGAGTAGGGCTAGTTGTTAGTCACTACAGTAGAACAATCAGCACAGTTTGTGTAATGCACTAAGATGGATTGAAGCTACTTAAGAATATGAGGAAATGGGATCAGTGCTTTGGAAAAAGGAGCTTGACTCACCAAATCCGCTTCCAGTACAGCGGCTCTGAGCAGAGCCTTTGGTTGCACCCACGGATGCTGCAGCACAGATGCTTGCAGCTGGCAATGCTGGGCCTATCCTGGGAACACCAACACTTTACCCTGATGGAAATACGTGACAGTCCCATGCTGAGTAGCAAGGAGCAAGACAGAAGCTCTGTTGTGTTGCTCCTATTCATTTCCTGTTATCAGAAGAGATCAAGGTTCCACTCCTTGGTTTCACACCAGAATAGTTCTGCTCTTTGGTATTTTTCCCTTTCAAACATACCTGTAAAATAAATACCCAGCTCTTACTGCATCTGCACCAAGACCTGAGCAGACTGCAGAGTCTCAGAGGCCTCAAGCTACCTGTTCTTTCATTTAATCAGAAGGATTGATCCCACACCTCCCTTAAAGAGATGAGACACGATGAGATACAGGACTCCTTCCTTGACCCCAAAACCTTCTTTCCCCACAGATCTTCCC